CGCCATACATATACATGTATCCGTTCTCCCTCAAACCCCCCTGCCCATCCAGGCTGGCATGTAACATTGAGCAGAGTTCCCTGTGCTATACAGTAGGTCTTTGTAAAGATAGCAAATTTCCAAAGTAGGGTGAAGGAAGTTATTTACTTAAAATCTCGGCAACTAAGGAAGCCAGGGAATTAGATGCAATAAAGAGTAATAACAATCACTAAGTTACAATCATAACAAAAGTTCTCATTTATTAACTACAAATTATACCTTAGCACTACAGGAATCCTAACAAAAATCTCATGCTATCCTTTTAACAATCCTTCGATGTTTAAAGACACTGAACCTTCAAAATCCCATCCTCTCACCTACCCAAACAATTCTCTCCTTTTTCTCCTGTGTTAATTTCCTCACATTACCAACTCAACCTGTAACCACTGATTGATTCACGCTTTGATCACAGTCCCTTCCTTGAAAGACTTGGCTTTAAGGGCATCACTCATATTCTCCTATATCCCCTATTATCCTCACAAGTCACTCCTCTCTAGTTTTCTTTGCTGGTTTTCCAATTTTCTGACCTATTATATTGGAATGCCCCAAGGCTCAGTTTTGAGTTCTCTTTTTTCCCCTATCCTCACCCCTTGGTGATTTCATCCAGTTTCCTTCATCTTCCCCAGTTTATCACGCTAGCTTAGACTCCCGTTTTCTCCATATAGACTCTATTACCTAATCCTGTTGGTTCTACACCCAAATGTACCCAAAAGTTGACCATTTCTACTGCTGCCACCCTGGGTTGAGCCGCCACCATCTCTTAACATGGATTGTAACAGTAATCTCCAAATGGGTCATATCATTTGTACTTTTACCTCCTTTAGCCTATCTATCCACTGTGTACTGGAGAGGATCTAGTCAGACCACCTCACTCCATTCAAACCTCCCTATAGTTTCCCATTTAACTCAGAATAAAATCCAAAATCTTTATATAATGGCCTACAAGGCTGAAAATGATTTAGCTAGCCTGTGTCCAAACTGGAACACATCTACCTCTCATCCTGCTCAGCCATGCTTTTGTCACCTTGATAACCCTAAATATGCAAAATATGCTTCAGCCTTAGGGTCTATTGCTCCCTAAACCTGAAACACTCTTATCACAAATATCTTCAAGTTTGTGTGTCCGTGCTCAGTTGCTAAGTCATGTTCAACCCTTTGTGACCTCATGGACTGTAGCCCACCAAGCTTCTCTCTCCATGGGATTTTTCAGGCAAGAATACTGGAGTGGATTGCCATTTCCTCCTCCAGGAATATCTTTAAGGCTCACTTCTATAACTCTTTCAGGTCTTTATTCAACTACCCCTTCCAGTGAAACCTTCCCTGACATTCCTATTTATTACTGCAACTCCTCTACCATCAATCTCTAGTACTCCCCAGCTCCATTTTCTAGTATATTTTTCCAGAGAACTAATGGTAACATTACCTTATATTCCATATGAATGCCTATTTATTATCTGTTTATGTACATGAACTAAGACATTTTAAAGTTCTTAGAAAAAGAACTTATTTTAGTTTTACCAATAGTAAGTCAAAGATTTCCTTTTAGTAGACTAATAAAAGTATAAGCAATTTGGCAAGACATATTTGCAACATTTCTTTTAAAAGCTCTTTGACCCTTCAGTTCTGCTTTGGTGCACCTGCTCCATGGAAACAATCCAAAACATAAGGGAAAACTATGAGGATAAATATTCAGAAGTAAAAACTTTTCCTCCCACCAGAGTAAATACTTACCACTTAGAATAGTACTTGATCTAAGTAGGCAATATTTACAGAAATGAACTAAGAAACATTACTATAAATGCTTAAGATGCCATTGTAAATTAGCAGTGAGTTTTGGGGAATTGTATGCTCTATTTTCTTTTTTTAGAAATTTCTAACATTACCTATATGTGTAAATCTTTTATGAAAAAAAAAAAAAATCTACACACAATACTGAGTCACAATGTAGTAATCACACTGTAGTACTATAAATGCTTATAAAAAGTTTCCCAAACTTTTATTTCTCCTCTCAACATGCATCAAATCAAATAAAGACAACTATTTTGTGAGAAGCCAACAAGGCATTTAGTCCTTCTATTACCTGAGTGGAGTTAGATAGTTGGTTTTTCCACGGCTCCTCTGCGCTGCTGGTCAGGTTTGTGCGGTTATGAGGTAGAGTGAGTGCGTTTCGCTGCAGGTAAGGCACGTTTCCATTACTTCCACTTCCTGTTATGTGATTATTGCCTATCAAAATAGTGTCTGTACTTCCCAGCGTTCTTGATGTGCTACAGGGAACATGGCCTGCAGAAAAGGGTCCATTGGCCAAAGGCTGCCCAGGGCAGGCAGGGCGGACTCCTGGCTGAGACACGCTAGGCACTCTGGTCAGAGCAAGCTGTGGCTGCTGGCCAGAGACTGAGTTTGTAGGCAGTGATGAGTCAGCTGATGGCCCGTTAGGAATTCCAGTAGATCGTACCTGTGCAACTCCTGTTTGTCTCATCTGTCAAAAACAAAACAAAACAAAACATAAATGCTGCCTGTGTGGCCCTTAAGGGACAGAATCAGAATATGAAGATACATAACAAGATAATCTCTGATTTTACCCTAACATTTAATTTCTCTAGGTTAAAAACCACCTTTTTGAAACAAGCAATTGTGTTTCTTCACATTCAGATTAGCTTCCTCAGAAAAGCAGCAATCTACTTCATCTTAAGAAATATCTTTTTAGTAAATGACAAAAGAAAGCAGTTGAAAATTATGGAAAAGAAATCAAATTTACAGGTCTCCTCCCCATCACAAAATAGGGGATCTTAAAATTCCATTTTATCACATTTATATGCCAGATTCTGAGTTAAACTTGAAAGAACCTCACCTGAGTTTAGGATGTAGTTTGTTAAGTATTAAATAAATAAAACTCATGGAAAATAACATGTAAATTAATACTAAGTAATGTTCAAAATCAAATTTATAGCTGTTTTTTTCCCTAAAAATCTCTGTCCATTATCAGTATTTTAAGAAGAACAGATAATTAAATCCCACCAAACACTAGTACAAACTAGAGGTGGGCATAAACATACTCTCTAACATGATATTCCAGTCAACAAAAATATTCATATGCTAACAAATTTTAGGGGGAAAACAATGCTGTACACACTTGGTGTTGCTGCATTAAGACAAACTGACTTTCCAGCTGTTCCAGCATCAGTTTCTGTGCTGGATTTAAATTATTTCTATTTGCACGGAGCTGTTCCAAGTGCTAGAAGAAAAAGAAGAATGCAGTCAAAGACATATCTAAGAAACAAGCTCATTATTCTAAGCAACCTTTCTATAAAACTCTGAACGCTGTCTAGTCAAAGATACTGATTTCTGACCAATGGCAATCAATCCCAAAATGAAGTCCTTTAAGAAGTTTGAGAAAGTTAAGGAATAAATATTTATCTCAGAAGGTTTACTGTAATGGGATCTTTGAGATAAATGGGCATGAGATTTTACTCATCAATAATTATCAGGATTTACACAGAAAGTTCTTTAAGCTAAAAAATGCTTTATGACAAGTACTAAGAAGCACTGTATGGAATAGGAAAGTCTGAAGACAATCTGACTATCCTAAACTAGTAATTTGCCTAAGTAAAAGCATGACACCTACATAAAGAAACACGATGTAGTCACAGAAGGATTAGGAAGCTCTTAATATATTGACATGGAAAGGTCTGCATAATACACTATTTAACAGTATATACAGCATTTTATCATCAGTATAAAGAGAGAAGAAAATAATAACATATGAGAGAAAGGAGACGAGTTATTTGCTTGGACATGCATGACATCTCTTGAAAGATAGATAAGCAACAAGTAATACTGGTTTTCAGTTAGGAGTAGAACTGAGTGGATAGGGATAGAAGGAGGAGAATTTATTCTATATACTCTAAACTCATACTTAGGTGGTTTGAACCATGAGAATATATTGGGGGGTGGGGCAGAGGTTAAGTGGGAAAAGAAAAAAAAAGAATGAATTATCTCTATTACTCTGGTAAATGTAGGCTCAATTTACTTATGTACCTATTAACTGAGTTTACTGCCATTCAGTTTTAAGAAGTAATACTTAAAAAAACTTAGAACTTTAGTACCTCTACTTTTCTTTAATAGGAAAAACAATCTGTCAAAAGCATGTTTTACATACCTGTAATTTCTGTGGTGTCATACACCATGAATGACCTTGTTGCTGTACTGGAGGATGTGACACTGCATGGCCACTACTCCAATTATCAGAAGTATTCTGAGGAAAATTGATTAAAAAAAAATTAAAGAATATTTGGTTAAATCCAGAGAGTTAACAAAATGACTAATGGAGGTCAAATGACTATGAATTGGAATATTTACATATAAAAAAGATGTTATGACATTTAGTTCTTTTAAAAGTAATTTTACATGCATAGTAAATTTGGGAACTTAAAACTTAAGAAAATATTGATTCTTTAATTAGCCACCCAAAAAGGCCCACCCCTAAACTATGGCCCAAATGACTAACCTAAATACCACACTGTCCACTAGGTTCAATGTTAAAGTTTATTTTAATGTCAGTAGAAAGTGATGATGAAAAGTTGTGTTGAGATCTTAACGGCAGGGAGATGAATAAAATGATTTGATGAATGCAAATTTATCCCTACTTTCCATATTTAGTATGATACTAAGAATTTGGAATGAAAAACTCAAACCTTTCACTCATTGATGTCCACAGATTTAAAATAAAGGACAGGAGATGTTCAAACTGCACAAGTTCAGGGCAGTTAGGAATTTCTTTCTTGACTGGGATTTTCTATTTCTCTAAAACATATACCTTTGTTGGACTAGATGTTCTTTTCCTCTTGGCAGGACTGGACAGGTCATCTACTTGGCTAGAAGGAATCATGTGTAGTGGCAAGGATTGCTGTGAAATTGGTGTCTGACTGAGGCCTAATACAGGTTCAGTATTTGGATGATGAGGTTTACATGCCTAAGAATCACAGAAGGAAGACAAAAATAGGGTTCTATATATTCTTAATTCATTCCTTCAAATTATACAACTTTACAAGCTGCATACTTTTCAAATCTATGTGGACATCGCTGAATGGTAATTATTGAAAATCAAATGAATCATCAGTGGAGGAATGTGTACCTTCCTTTGAAAAACTTGTTTCAAAAATTAAATAAACAACTGCAGCATTATGTTAAGAAATTTCCTTCAAAACCATGAAAATGCATAAAGGTCCTAAATTGGCACCCCAAAATTTCTTCCCATATCAGAGGGAGTTTTAATTTGATCTAAATTCCCTTCACAATTAAATCAAGAGTCTTTTCATAAATAAAAGCCTCCTGTGCTTAGTAAAATACGCTTGACTACTACAGATTGAAAAGAACCCTTAAAGCTGGGTACCTGCAGAACATAACCCAACTTCTCACCTGCTGTGCTGTGTTCATGGCACCCTGCCTGGAGGTAAGCTCTGCGGGGATTGGTAGGCTCCACGCCTCCTCAATACTAGGAAGTAATTTAGTTTTATTCTGTAGACTACCTTGTGGAAGGTTACACAACTGAGCCTAGGAAAAATTATGTAAAAAGCAAATTTAACACAAGCCTACTTGAGTAAGAGCAAGTCCACTAAATCTTCCTAAATGCTATAACTAATTGTTTTTAAGAAAATAGATCCTTAATTTGGGGTTTCAGAAAGATACTAAGTATAATGAGGGAAATGGGAATATAAACCTTTGTGAGAATTAAAACAAAGTTGAGCTCTGTTTTCAGAGTTCTTATAGCTGTCTTCTCATGAAACTCCAAGCAAGAGTGAAAGACAGTGTTTGTGTTCTTTTCTCTAAAATGCTATGACAACTTAAAAATGTAGACAGTACATAGAAAAAAATTATGTAAATTAATATGTATTAACAGGGTAAATGCACAAAAGAGCATCTTTTAAAATACTGTATATCTTACTTAAAATGAAAAGTAAAATAATATTACAAGCTATGGTATGTTTACAAAATATGGAAACAAGTTATAGACATCAAAACACAACTAGACAAACTTCCCCATCCACCCTCCTCCTGCCTGAGTGTCATGGGGAAACATGTGCCTTTAAAAAACTGCAATTTAAACATTTTACCTGTAAATACTTAATTCGTGCTGCAAGTGCAGAGGTATTACTACAACTTTTGCTTCTGGTTGCATTTAAGTAGCATTTAATGGCATCCTGAGGCTGGTTGCAGGATTCGTAGAGTGTGCCTAGGTCCATCCAGGCTGCAGCATGGCCATGGTCCAATTGTACAGCACAAATATAGGCCTGTAAAGCATCCATAGGCTGATTTTGCTGTTGATATAGCACGCTGGAAAGAGAAATTAAGAAAAAATAAGTCAACTAAAAAGAATGGCTTAGCTTTATAACATAATGTAAACCACGAAGTACGTTGTGACACAACTATCTTTGTGTATGAATTATACCATTATTTCTACACAAAGTCTTACCCTATTGAACACCATGTATCTGCACTTGCTTCTGACTTATCAATAGACTGCCTGTAAGATATAAAGGCATCCTGAACTTTCCCAATACTTGAATAGCACCTAAGAGGGGAAGGGAAAAAAAATAAGAAAATATGATTAATACACATTAATTAATGTGCTGGAAGACTATGTCAAAGCAAGTAAAAATCTAATAAGCAAACAGATTTATGTGAAGTGTGAATATACATGACAATAACACTATAATTAACCCTTCAATAAGCTATATTATAGACTATCTGATAGTGTGTATCAGTGCAGCATACTTTAGCACCTATTAAAATAGTTAAATGCCATATCACTTCAATATAATAATATTGAGAGATACACGCACACCACTCTACTTATACAACTTGATCTCTGGTTTTCCGAAGAGTAAGAATATAGTTAAAAACCAAGAAAAACATTCTATATTGGTAAGACTTGCTGAATCAGATTTCAGTTTTCCTTTCTTAAATAATAAAAATAAAGGAAACAACTCTTTAATACACACAAGACACAAACATAAGAAATAATATCAAGCTGACTATCAAAAACAGTATAAAACAGGATTAAGTACAGTATTTAATGACTAGTAAGGGTAGCAAGGTATGATTAAAGTTTCAGGGAACTGGCATTTTTCTTAAAGTAGATGTACCTCATGGATACATAAAACAGCAGGTAAAATTATAAAAATACAGAAATTATATTCTTCAAGTTTGGCACTAAGGGAAAAAGGAAAAAATAAAACCCAGTCCATCGTCAAGGAGTTTACAATTTAACTGAGGATTGAAGACACATTATAAATAGCATGATGCCGTATCAAATGGCTAGCACAGATAAGAACTGGTCTGAAAATTTAGGGTAGGGTAGAAGAGACCACACTACACACTACTGGGTTTAGGAAAGGTAAGAAAGGAAAGGGTAAGAGTAAAGGATCTGAATGTGCATAGATGCATACTGTTTAAATCAGTGATTTGCAATTACCAACTAGTTTACAGTAATTTGGCCAAGCAAACAAAATGGGAAAAAAAGACATTAAACATACATTTTCCATTAAACCAATATTTGTATTGCAGTTGACTTACTCTGAAATACTATTGACTGAGTAAATAGCAAAAAAAAAAAAAAGTAAATGTCAAGTAATCCAAAAGTCTGAGAACCACTGATTCAGGCAGAGAATTTGAGAAAAGGCATTTTGAAATGCTACTTGAATAGCATGGGCAAAACTTATATAAGTTACATCTTGTATATATATAAAAGATATATCAGATATATCTTATATATAAATTAAATATATCAGATATATCTTATATATATGATAGCACAGATATAAGTGGTAGAGAATTTTAAATCCAACCCAAGAATATCGCGAAGTTTGTTCTTCTAACAAGGGGAATGGCACGATGAAAGTATTTTATGGGAATATTTATCTGCTAACAATGTGTAGCAATAAACCAAAAGTGAAAAAAATTATAAACAATAAAAAAGAAGGCAGCTATATTTACTGGCTTGGAATAGGCCCAAAATAGGGTGAAAGTAATGGAAGTGACAACAAAGAAAAAGGAGAAACAATAAACCAAAACACAGATAAAAACTTTGTGACAGACTGATTAGATCTTCATGGGGTTAGGATTATAATTTATTTTTTAAGTCTGATAAATAGCGAGGAGGCGGGGCAGAGATGGTGATATCATTGGCAAAAACAAAGGAGAAGGAGCTGGTTCAGAGAAGAAAATGATGAATGTGGTTTGAAATATGCTGACTTTGACATGAGATGTAAACATTAAAACAGGTAATGTTAGATAAAGGATAGGGAATATTGTCCTGGTGTTTAACACTTTGAAGTGTAGAAACTGATATTTGGAATTCATCCATCTGGAAGAGAGGGTATAAGAACACAGGATACCTACAAAGGAGAGGTAAAAATAAGCCTGAAAAGTGAAGTGAAGTAAAGGTCACTCAGTCGTGTCTGACTCTTTGTGACCCTATGGACTATACAGTCCATGGAATTCTCGAGGCCAGAATACTACAGCCTTTCCCTTCTCCAAGGGATCTTCCCAACCCAGGGATCGAACCCAGGTTCAATCCAGGTCTCCTGCATTGCACGTGGACTCTACCAGCTGAGCCACAAGGGAAGACCATGAGATCACTAATCTTGGGGTTGGGGCAATATAAAGAAAGGTGAGTGACAGAAACAGAGGCAGAGTCCGAGAGTGTCTGTAAACTGTTTTATGACTAACAATGACAAACAGGGACACCACAAAGAAAAGAAATGTTTACCCAATAGTGGAAAACATGCTGTTTGTTGTTCTTAATTAAATCAAAGCCAATCTCAGATTTATAGAGCAAATTCACCTAACTGCTGGGAGGAATAAGCAGTAAATCCCACAACCTATGTTTTCATACTTGATTCCTACAAAGTGAAAGTAGGGAACCAATGTGCCCAAATACAAATTCCTCAATCCAACTATCAAACACTTTTCCTCTAATAAAACTTAAACAGGCTCCCGTGAGACAGTACTGTGTAACTGAAAAAGCTCTGGATGTTGAACCAAGGATCTAGTCCCCGCTCTGCTACTAATTACCTGCATGACTGTGACCTTGGACAAAGCATTTGACTCCTCTGAGCTCCCTTTCTAAAATGTGCAAAATGACAAGGGTGAACTAGGTGACCTCCTGTCCCTCCTAGCTCTGCTGCTGCTGCTAAGTCACTTCAGTCGTGTCCGACTCTGTGCAACCCCATAGACGGCAGCCCACCAGGCTCCCCCGTCCCTGGGATTCTCCAGGCAAGAACACTGGAGTGGGTTGCCATTTCCTTCTCCAATGCATGAAAGTGAAAAGTGAAAGTGAAGTCGCTCAGTCGTCTCCAACTCTTAGCGACCCCAAGGACCACAGCCTACCAGGCTCCTCCATCGATAGGATTTTCCAGGCAAGAGTCCTAGAGTGGGGTGCCATTGCCTTCCCCCTCCTAGTTCTAACATTCTATAATTCTGTGATAACACAGTCAATAACAAAGTGCCAGTTTAACAGCATTACCTCATTATACTTTCATTATGATATACACATGCCAAACGACAAACAAATGCAATCTTCAACACAGACCTGATGCAGAGATAAGTAACCAAGTGCCTCAGAAATATTAGGGTCATCGACTCCCAATGACATTTGAGATCTTCCTTCAGAGCTTTAATAACTTCTAAAATCTAATTTATTTATAAATATTTTCTCATGACAAAACAGACTTGAAGCAACACATGAGAAGTCAGTAAAAAAAAAAAGGGTAAGAAATGTAAACATTAAAGAAAAAAGTCTAAAACAGTCCTCAAATTATATTACAGATAAAAAATACTGAACACCAACATGATAATCTTGAACCCCCAAACAAGAATAAGTATCCTTTATCTGAGAAGTCAGCAAAGTATATTTGGAAAATTCTATCCAGAAAGGTTCAAATAAAAAAACATCTCAACGATTTCAAAGGTAAAACCACTTGTGAGGTGGGAGGATGACACACCTCCTATGGAATAGTGCTCACTGAGCTGAAAATTACAGAATTACTAAAGTAGTAATTTGGGGGAATTCCCTGGAGGCCCAGTGGTTAGGACTCTGGTCTTTCACTGTGGGGGCCTAGGGTTTGATCCCTGATCTGGGAACTAAGAACCCACAAGTGGTGGGGCCAAAAAAAAAAAAAGTAACTTTTGACATTTCAAAATTATATATTAATTTTGTATGCATAGAATTAAGAAAAAATATATTAAAAAGACATCCACACTATTGTGCTATATTAAACTACTAATCTTTATCTTAGATCAAAAGAAAAATACTTTCTGGTACACATTCCTTTTAATCTATATTAACAGAAATTTTCATTTATAAACATTAACACTAGAGGCAATGACTAAGCAAGACCCTACTTTACTACAAAGAGCTCCTTTTGGTCACTATATGAAGCCTCTCACTGCACAATACTAACAGTAGTAACAGAGCGAGCTCCAAAGGCAAATGGTGTTCAATTAGATCATTTATTCCATTTACTAAATAGCCATTTACCAGGTAATAAGATACAAAGATGGTTAAGATTCAGTTTCTGCTCCCAAAGATCTTTAATGAAAGAGAAAGACAAAGTTTGGACTCTCAAGCTTTATTAATGAGCAACTGAATTTAGATGACTTTATAAGCCTGGCAAGGAATTACAAAATTACTACCAAAAATAGCTACTTTTCTACTCAACTATTATAGGATATTATTAATGAGTAATAAAAAAAATTTGAAACATCTTAAATATTACTCCCTCTCATACAAATATACTTGGCTAAATTTAAAGGAAAAAAATGACATACTAAAATATAAAATACTAGAATACATGTAAATCCATGGCTAATTCATTTCAATGTATGACAAAAACTACTGTAATGATGTAAAGTAATTAGCCTCCAACTAATAAAAATAAATGGGAAAAAAAAATAAAGTAAGGGAAAAAAAATATATAAAATACTAGAATACTAAAATTAATGTGATTATATGGCTAACTCAAAGTAAAATACTCCTATAGAAAAAAAGAAAGGGAAAAAGTTTAAAATTAAAACAAAACAGTGTAATTTCCAAAGAAAACATAAAATTAAAACCTTTAGCATGGGAAGGTTACCTAAGAGATATAATATAACCAGGGGCTTTTCAACCTCAGCATCATTGACATTTTGTGACAGGTAATCTTGTACTGTAGAGAAGTGTTCTAGTAGCATTCTCCATAGTTGTGATAACCTAAATCTCTCTACAGACATTATGAAATGTCTCCCATGGGGCAAAACAGCACCTTCCCATCCACCCTACCACCATTGAGAACCATTGATCTAATTCTCTTATCAACAGAAAACTGAAGCCTCAAAATGTTTAATTGTTCAATCCAAGATTCCACAAATAGTAGCCAAGACTTGAATGCAAGTATCTCAGGTAACTCCTAGTAGACTGATCTTTCTACCATACTGCAAAAGCTAAAACCAATTAAGAACTAAAATACAATCAGATAATGGTCCAAAAATATATTCTATCAGATGCATATATATGAGATATATTTCATATAATCAGTAAGCAAAATTCAGACATTCAAAGTACAAGAAAAGTTTATAGACTTGCAAAAAAATATTTTCACTAACGCCACTTCTCCTTTCCAACGAATTGAATAATAATGTATCTACTTTCTCACTGTAAAACTTCAAATACAACTATGATTTGCAATCTCCTATTAATGTCCATTCTAAGGTAAATATCACTAATCAAAAGGATAACGGGCAAAGTTCCACTAACTACTGGTAGTCATCAGGCAGAATGAAAAATTAGTTCTCTGTTCTATTTAAATAGACATATGAACACTAGAAATCAAAAGGAAAGGCATTTAAATACCTGAATGAATAATTAGTATCTGCCAAGAGTTTTTGAAAACCAACAATAATTTAAGTCAAATGAAAATCCAATAAGCAAAGTAAGAAATATCCTGATGGACCAGATGATGGTATAACAAAACCACCACATTCAGAAGTTCTTTTATTTTTTATCTAGAAATCTTCATTATAAAATATTTAAAAGGGAAAATATACTGATCACATTATTAGTAAACTGATATTTCAGATAATTCAAAACTCTTGGCTGCAATAAACAAAAGCAAAACCTAAGTTTCTGATAAATCAGTCTTACCTTCCAAGGAAATACCAAGACTGGCCAGAATTAGGATCTGCTTCCAAGGACTTTTGGAGATACTGAATAGCATAGCTTTCCTTGGTGGCTTTATCTCCCAGGAGATCCACAGTATGATGCATCCAACCTATAGTAAATGATTAAAAATATTTACATAAATGACTTAATTAATCTACTACTTAAAAGAATATAGAGCAGAAACAAAAACATAAAAAATACTCTTTTCAGTCAATTTATTCATTTAGCTTGGCATACATACTCCCCAAATTTAGAACTGTCAATTCAGTCCTAAAAAAGTTTTGTCTTTAAGGTACAGTCAAAGCAATGAAGAACTTTCATTCCAGAGAAATTAAAACAATTTTAAGTATTGACTTGTCACTTACTAGATTACAAACTATAGTTCTATTCTCTAATTTTTGTATTTGAAAAAATTTCAACATACGAAACAAAGAATATAAGATGATAAATCTTATTTACTGTTTCATGTAAAACTTAATGTGCACTTAAAAATCTCTATTAAGAGGGATGGGATGGAGAGGGAGGCGGGAGGGGGGACCGGGATGGGGAACACATGTAAATCCATGGCTGATTTATGTCAATGTATGGCAAAAACCACTACAATATTGTAAAGTAATTGCCTCCAACTAGTAAAAATAAATAGAAAAAAAAATAAAATAAAAATCTCTATTAACACCATGTTTACTTCCAAGGAATAAATATAAAGCTATATCATCAATGATAGTTCAGGGTAGCACACACAACATACAATCCTACCTTATTGGCACTGGCTACATATATTCACAACTCATGTAAAATAAAAATTACAATCATTTGACAATTTTTTTAAAAACTCCAAGACTATAAGAAAGAGTCCATTCAAATGCTGCAAATAAAAATGATACAAAATGGGTAACACAAATCTTTACTAAACAAATTTAGATGGTATACATAATCTCGCTTATCTGTGGAATCCAAAAAAGTGAAATACGCAGAAGCAGGGAGTTGAATGGTGGTTACCAGGAGTGGTAAGATAGAGGAAATGGGGAGATGTTGGTCGAAAGAAACAAAGTTGAAGTTATACAGGATGAGTAAATCTAGAGAACTAACATACAGCATTATGACTGGATGAGAGAATAGATTTGAGGTGCTCTCACCACAGGTGGGAAAAAAAGGTAACTATGTGAGAAGATGGATATGTGGGACAGCTTGACTGTAGCAACCATTTCACTATGTACAGGTATATCAAAACATCATCTTGTACACCTTAAAAAAAACTGTTATGATAAAACAAACAAACAAGCTGACCATGTAAGTAATCAAAACACTAGATCATGGAATACTAGCACATGGAATAATTTGACTTAATGTGCGAGGGAACCATAATTTCAGTTGTGGATCAATTCAAATTCACAAAATCAGCTGTTTTTCATGTATAGTTCACAGTACACAAAACAAACAAGGACCCTTATTTTCTGATATTTATTACAGTTGCTGTGCTCCAAAAGAAAGAGGGCTGAGTTATCATGTTTTATGGAAATATAAGTCAATCACACACTTATTCATCTGTTCCTCCCTTACCTCTCCTACTATTACTACTAAATACAGGACCTAGAGTAACAGACTCTAAAAGGAGTTGCTTAAGCAGCACTGACAAGCAAATAGGAAGGATTGATGTGCAGGCATAAATTAGACTCAATAAGGGGAAGTATTTTCCCTTTCAAAACCATGGAAAGTTTACCTATACATTCAGCCAAAGAGGACAGGTTTGTGTGCATTTTTGCTACTGACACATTTTTCAGTGCAGCTAAAATGCATAAAAACTTATTTATAAATAATGTGAATTTAAAAAGTTTGTATTCACATTATTAGCTGAATGAGTAAGCTATCTCAAGGCATCAATTTGTTCTTTTTACCTAAGAACACAAAACCTTTTTTGCTGTACTAATAAACTTATTTTAACTTAAATATACCAATTCACATTATCTAAACTCTGCAAGTAATCATTAAACACAAATACTTGACTATAATTTTTAAAAGTATGGATAACTCATGGAAATTCTAACCAGAGATTAAAGACAAAATTAAAAAATGAAAGTTTTATATGAAAGCAATGTTCTTATTCTGTAAAGCTGATCACATAGTATGCATTAGTATCATGAAGTGAAAAAATTTAAGCTTAAATAATTTAAAAATTACATTAAAAACAGTCATGCTAACGATTATATTCTTTCATTTTCAATATTACAACAGAACTGCATGTGTAGAGAATCTATACTTTAGATGTTCCACATTTCTTACATAAAGATGTTTTAGTTAGTATTACTGACAGAGCTATGAAAGCGAGCTGACCAATCACTAAAAGACTTTAGGTAAATCACTTAACTTCATTGAGTTCTAATGGTATCTGGCACAAAGAAAGCATTCAATCCCCCTCACTCATGGTTAAGTACCAGTGTATAATTTTGAGCATTTAAAAGAAAAGTTACACTAAAGAATTGTAATAAGATTGACTGTGAGATAGACAATACTCAGCAGAAGGTGGAAATATGATGAGTTCAGATAAATTCTATCAACTTTGGAAAAGGAAGGAAAAGAAATAGGATATGTAAGTCATGTATTTACCATCAGTAACATGTAAAAAACATTAAGCAATGTACTTATAACACACTAAGTGAATATTATTACATACCCAACTGTTGTAAGACAGTTGCTTTTACTTGTGCAGAAAGGTTTTCTGTCTGCAAAAGTTGTTCATAAGCTTCCTTTGCAGAATGATACTTCCTCTAAAAAGTAGGAAAAAAAGATTAAATGAAAATAAAATTAACATCTTTAAAGAATTAGCTCATGTTAAGTCTTAGACAATATTGAAATTTCAGCATATTTTAAAAAATCAACTGAAAGATCAAAGTGCATTACTGAATGTTTCTCTAACTCTAGACAGTTATGGTTAATAGGCCATGTTTCAGAGAATCTAATACCAGTAAAACATTCAATACAACAAAGTATCATTAAAATATGACCTTTGAGTACTTCAAGATGAAACCAAAGGATGTGAGACAGCATCATATGTATTCAGTAGAAACCTTATTTCAAATTTTGATCTTTCCATAGGCAAGTGATATCTTATATGACACTCTCCTGTAATGCTGGGCAGCAGTACTGAGCCACAGTTGCCAGTCAGTTACAAGATCATGAGGGTAAACAATCGATATCCTTCCAACCATTCTGTACCCATACAATCACTTTGATTTTCACCTTAGTTCAGTATTTAATAAGTTACATGAGATATTCAGCAACAACAAAAAAATAGGACCTTTAAGAATTTGCCAAGTCTTAATAGTTAAAAAGAAAATCATCTGAACCTATTTAATAACATAAATGATGTCCACTTTATTTAATAACACAAATGAAGCTAACAAAGTATTCTATTTCCAAGTGCATCACCTGTTTGCCTAGAAATACCAAGCTCCAAAGCAACTTAATATGAACAAATAGAGCACATGTCAAAACTGTTGTTATAAAATGAAGTACAAAAGCCAATGAAATCTAAGTTTAAAAGATACAATCACTGGTATATAATATATCCTATGAAAAAATTATCATACATACATGATTTTAAAGAAAACTCCTCATAACTATTGTCTAATGATGTTTATAATATATAAGATTGCATGGGCAAAACTCTAAATGAAACCATTTACCCACAGTTCTCACCCCAAAAGTACTAATATGACTGAAACCCATTACTGCTACAGTCTGAAAGCTGAAGACAACTCCTCCCCATTCCTCCAAAAGGGGGGGGGGGGGGGGAAGTCAACAAAAGAAAACTTTGTAAATATTGTTTTTAGAATACACTTGGCAGAACAATGGATTAAAGTGGCTATGTCACTGATAGGACATAGCTAGCTGAGCAAGCAAACCTTTCTCCCCAAAAAAGTAGAGACATAAAACTAGCTGTGTGAGCCTCAGGCAAATCACTTGAACTAGGATTCAACATCCATACAACAGATGTAATATTTTCTTTTTTTTCTTTTTCCATTTATTTTTATTAGTTGGAGGCTAATTACTTTACAATATTGTAGTGGTTTTGCCATACATTGAAATAAATCAGCCATGGATTTACATGTGTTCCCCATCCTGATCCCTCCTCCCGCCTCCCTCCCTATCCCATCCCACTAGATCTTCCCAGTGCACCAGCCCGGAGCACTTGTCTCACGCATCCAACCTGGACTGATGATCTGTTTCACTCTCGATAGTATACTTGTTTCAATGTTATTCTCTCAGAACATCCCACCCTCGCCTTCTCCCAGAGTCCAAAAGTCTCTTCTGTACATCTGTGTCTCTTTTTCTGTTTTGCATATAGGGTTATCGATACCTTCTTTTTAAATTCCATATATATGCATTAGTATACTGTATTGGTCTTTATCTTTCTGGCTTACTTCACTCTGTATAATGGGCTCCAGTTTCATCCATCTCATTAGAACTGATTCAAATGAATTCTTTTTAACGGCTGAGTAATATTCCATGGTGTATATGTACCACAGCTTCTTTATCCATTTGTCTGCTGATGGGCATGTTGCTTCCAGGTCCTGGCTATTGTAAACAGTGCTGCAATGAACATTGGGGTGCACGTGTCTCTTCCAGATCTGGTTTCCTCAGTGTGTATGCCCAGCAGTGGGATTGCTGGGTCATATGGAGTTCTATTTCCAGCTTTTTAAAAAATCTCCACAATGTTCTCCATAGTGGCTGTACTAGTTTGCATTCCCACCAACAGTGTAAGAGGGTTCCCTTTTCTCCACACCCTCTCCAGCATTTATTGCTTGTAGACTTTTGGATAGCAGCCATCCAGACTGGCATGTAATGGTACCTCATTGTGATTTTGATTTGCATTTCTCTGATAATGAGTGATGTTGAGCATTTTTTCATGTGTTTGTTAGCCATCTGTATGTCTTCCTTGGAGAAATGTCTGTTTAGTTCTTTGGCCCATTTTTTGATTGGGTCATTTATTTTTCTGGAATTGAGCTGCAGGAGTTGCTTGCATATTTTTGAGATTAATCCTTTGTCTGTTGCTTCGTTTGCTATTATTTTCTCCCATTCTGAAGGCTGTCTTTTCACCTTGATTATAGTTTCCTTTGTTGTGCAAAAGCTTTTAAGTTCCATTAGGTCCCATTTGTTTATTTTTGCTTTTATTTCCAATTATTCTGGGAGGTGGGTCATAGAGGATCCTGCTGCGATTTATGTCAGAGACTGTTTTGCCTATGTTCTCCTCTAGGAGTTTTATAGTTTCTGGTCTTACATTTAGATCTTTAATTCATTTTGAGTTTATTTTTGTGTATGATGTTAGAAAGTGTTCTAGTTTCATTCTTTTACAAGTGGTTGACCAGTTTTCCCAGCACCACCTGTTAAAGAGGTTGTCTTTTTTCCTTTGTATATCCTTGCCTCCTTTGTCGAAGATAAGGTGTCCATAGGTACGTGGATTTATCTCTGGGCTTTCTATTTTGTTCCATTGATCTATATTTCTGTCTTTGTGCCAGTACCACACTGTCTTGATGACTGTGGCTTTGTAGTAGAGTCTGAAGTCAGGCAGGTTGATTCCTCCAGTTCCATTCTTCTTTCTCAAGATTGCTTTGGCTAGCTATTTGAGGTTTTTTGTATTTCCATACAAATTGTGAAATTATTTGTTCTAGTTCTGTGAAGAATACTGTTGGTAGCTTCAAAAGGATTGCATTGACTCTATAGATTGCTTTGGGTAGTACAGTCATTTTCACAACACTGATTCTTCCAATCCACGAACATGGTATATTTCTCCATCTATTTGTGTCCTCTTTGATTTCTTTCATCAGTGTTTTATAGTTATATATATATATATATATAGGTCTTTTGCTTCTTTAGGTAGATATACTCAAATATTTTATTCTTTTTGTTGCAATGGTGAATGGTATTGTTTCCTTAATTTCTCTTTCTGTTCTCATTGTTAGTGTATAGGAATGCAAGGGATTTCTGTGTGTTAAATTTTATATCCTGCAACTTTAGTATATTCATTGATTAGCTCTAGTAATTTTCTGGTAGAGTCTTTAGAGTTTTCTATGTAGAGGATCATGTCATCTCCAAACAGTGAGAGTTTTACTTCTTTTCCTATCTGGATTCCTTTTATTTCATTTTCTGCTCTGATTGCTGTGGCCAACACTTCCAAAACTATGTTGAATAGTAGTGGTGAGAGTGGGCACCCTTGTCTTGTTCCTGACTTTAAGGGAAATGCTTTCAATTTTTCATCATTGAGGATAATGATTGCTGTGGGTTTGTCATATATAGCTTTTATTATGTTGAGGTATGTTCCTTCTATTCCTGCTTTCTGGAGAGTTTTTATCATAAATGGATGTTGAATTTTGTCAAAGGCTTTTTCTGCACCTATTGAGATAATCATATGGTTTTTATCTTTCAATTTGTTAATGTGGTGTATTACATTGATTGATTTGTGGATATTAAAGAATCCTTGCATTCCTGGGATAAAGCCCACTTGGTCATGATGTATGATCTTTTTAATATGTTGTTGGATTCTGTTTGCGAGAATTTTGTTAAGGATTTTTGCATCTATGTTCATCAGTGATATTGATGCCTGATCTTTCTATCTAGGGTTCTTCTTAGGATTAAATGAGATAAAGAGCTCTGGAAATAAGGAGCTCTATGTCAACACAGGGAAAAATTGCAAGAACGTCCATTGAGATTAATAGTTATTACATAAACTTTCATTCATCAGGTATATGACTTCCCTTTCAAACATTAATCTGATCTGAAAAAGTAAATTAAGACAGTTAGTGAAGGGTAAGAATCAAGTTATTCAACTCAGTTCCTTCAACTGGTAAGTATTTGTTGAACACCTAACACATAACAGAAACTGCTAGGACTACAGGCGAGAATACAGATATGAAAACAAAACTTACTGTACTGTATACAGTAACAATATTGTACATGGTTATTTCCCAGAAGCAGACAAGCTAAAGAGTACTAGCAGATTGGACAGAAAAGGCAGAGACAAGTAGACAGCTTCACAAAGACCTTCCTAAACCATGTTAAAAGACTGCAGACTATATCCTAAGACAATGGGCTACCACTGAAATGAGTTCAAGCAATATCATCAAATTTATATTTTAGGAAAACCACCTTCTGGAATTACCTCAACAAATGCTAAAACATACTTCCAAACACTAGTAATAATTATAATATTAATAATAATAAACCATCAAACTTGAAAAACTGGATGGACCATACTGAGAAACCAAGTTTTATTTCTACCTCATACTATATACAAAACTGGCACCCACATTAAAGACCTAAATATGAAATGTAGAAGTATATAACTAAAAGAAGAAAATGGATAATATTTCCTTGAGACGGGAAAAAAATTTATTCGACTTGGCAAAAACTACACAAATCAAGAGGAGGAAGGATCTGACTTGAAACACATAAGGAGAAAAATAGGCAATGGACATAAAAACCAACATGTAAAAGGTGAAAACATGTAAAGTATAAACCTTGAGAAATCAGAAAATGCAAATTTAAATGAAATACTAGCTTCTACCAATTAGACTGATAAACATAAAGCTGGGTAGTTCTTAGTATTGTGGGGATATAAAGGAAAATACTCATGCCTTGCTGAAGGGGATTTACTCATGGAACCAGGTGTGTAAATATGCTACAATCTAAACATCTCATTCTTGGGATATATCTATACACCAAAGGAACCTTCCCATAGGTAATATTGTAAACGGTACTATTTGTAGTA